ATTTGCCTAAAAAAAATAATTTTCCAAAAAATAAATAAAATAATCTCCCGCTGAGAAAAAAAAGCAAAACGAGCAAAGCAATTATCGCTCAGCTTTTTCTAATAATTTCAGCTCACAGCTCATAACTTTAAATTTCACAAATTACATTTAATCATTTCGATGGCAATTCACACTATAACGGTTTCAATATTTGTATAATTTTTCATGTGAAGCATAAAATTATTAAATATTCGTACAATATTTTTCCCATGAAATAATAGCGCAATGTTTTCTTAATATTTGCTCAACACATTTTCTTATTCTATTTGATTTTTCTATGTTTACGCGAATTAATGACGAAAGCGTGTAGCAAATGATGCAAACAGAAATTTTCAATTTATTTATTTACGGCCAATATTTACGCGCCCAATAATGTTATTTTTATTTCTGATTTTTTTTTTTTTTTTATTTGTTTAAATTTTACAACAAAGAAAAACAAATGAAATTATAGAACTAATTTTAGTATTATCTATGTACATTATGTAGTACATATATACTAGATGTCGTGGTCGCACATACTCATTGAATATATGAAAAAATTATTTATGTACTCAATACTTGTGGAAAAATAACATTTTTGGTTTTACCATTGACATTGGTCCACTTCCCGAAGAGAGAAATAATCCGACCTTTTTGAATAGGCCAGTCCCCGGTTACCTTCCCGGAGAGAAGAGGCTACAGTATTCGTGTTTATCTAAGCAAAAAGCCGCTTATGTACCAAATTTCAAATAAATCCAGCCATGCATAGACTTTTTTCGAATAGGTCAGTCCTTGGTCAACTTTGCGGAGGGAGGAACATTGTTGTAATCTATAAAGTGCGTTCCAAAGTAAATAGGACTTTAAAAAGAAAAGACAGAACAAATGATTTTATCGGCAAACTCAATTAATTTTATTCAAAATGGTCTCCTTCTGCTTTGGTACAGCTTTTTGCACGGTCCAAAAGCATGTCGAACGAAGTGTTTTAGCTCGTTGCCCCTTATGGCCGCCAGTATGCCGGTGCAAGCCTTTTGAATGACCTCCACGTCTGCAAAACGCTTTCCTTTCATCGTCAAATGCATTTTCCCGAAACGGTGCCATATCAGGTAAATACGGAGAATGGTTGATATTTAAATTGTGATTTTTGGTCTTTTTTTGTCTCTTTAATGATGTCCTTCGAATGTTGAATTCTGAGTGCTGAAGAGTGAGTCAGTCAATTTGAGCGGAACAAACCGTGCACACACCTAAGCCAAAATGTTCGGTCAAAATGCGATAAATCGATGTTTTGGAGATATGCCATTCTTTTTCCATAAATTTCAATGATGATCTCGGCTGATTTTTTATGAATTTACGCACAATTTCAATGGAATTTTCGGTAATCACAGATTTTGGTTGGCCCACATGTTCATCGCCATTTATGTCCGCAGGCCCACTCATGCACTCTGCTACAGGAAAAGCAATCATCACCATAGACTTGTTTCGGTAAAAGTTTTACCAATTTTAAAACAAAATTTAATGTTAACTCTTTGTTCGAAGCCCATTTTCGCACCGGTGGCAAAAACATGCTGACCCTTAAAACGCAATAACTGCACTTCCAATAGATGAAATGTCACTGGAAGTCGTTAAATGATAGTAGATCCTAACGCACTAGTCGACATATAGATGACGCCACTAGAGGGCGCTAGATTCAAAAAGTCCTCTTTACTTTGGAACGCTCTTGTATTTCAACATTTATATTACTTGTTGCTATTTGCAATTTTCAGTTTTTATGTCACTGAATTTTTAATTTCAAATATTTTTAATTCTCTATTTATTTTAATTTTCACTTTCCATCAAACAAGAAATTGTTAAATAAATTTTATTAAAAAAAAAAACAAATTTTTATCAAAATAAATATATAAAGCTTTAATTAAATATATAGATATATACATCTATTAACATAAACCATCTACTAAAAAGCTCGAACGAAGCCTAAAAAATTGGTTTGGATATGTGAGCCCGTTCGTGAATTATGAAACCACAACGAAAATGGATATGATTTTTTATATACATTACAGTGGGTGGCCAATTTATTAGGGACAGGAAGGAAAATCTAGAGGTTTCTTGTTCAATTGGATTTCTGCTACAAATGATTAGTTATAGGTCTCCTAAATATTTTTTTTGTATCTATATTCGATTGGAATAACAAAAACTGCATAAAACTGTTTTATATTTCATCGTATGACCAATATTAATATTGGTAGAAAAGTTAATAGAATAAATTTTAATATTTATTTATGCCTCCCTTTGTTGCAATAAGAGCTTCCATGCGTCGGCGCATGTTTCCAATAAAGGTTCTTGCATCTTGTTGGAGTTGGGAATCAATCAACTGCTGTTTGCTGGTAATCACTTCTCTTGAAATCGCCCGTTTGGTGAGCTCCCACATGTTTTCTATGGGACTCCGATCTGGCGAATTCCCTGGCCAAGGCAAACAGTGACATTTTTTCGGGCAAATATGCGGCAAGACTTCTGGCTTTGTGGCACGGTGCCGTAACATGCATAAAAGGATATTCTTCATCATTAGGGAAGTTCTCTCTGACCGCATTTCTAGTACTTGTTTATGTTGGTCTTGTCTCATTGTACCTTCTACATTATATAGGCACCCCATGCCTTTGGCTGAGATGACCGGACCACTTCATTTCACTCGTCGCGTGTTTAACCCTCTCTACAAGGTAATCAGCATGGAATTGTTCATCAAGGCGTCGTCTTACAAAATAACTTTTATTGACCAAACTTTCAAATGTCAATTCGTTGGGAAAACACTTCTGTAAAATAATAGCATAAATAGTAGAAAAAAATTACATTGTTCGAACATACTGTAGTGACTCTATTCCCGTCAGCAAGAGTCATATATCGATGCTGTCTAGCCCGTTCCAGTCGTGTCTTCTGCACACTGGTCGATAAGCGTGGTTTTTTGGTTGGCCGACAAGCCATCAGTTTCGCTTCGACCAACCGCCTTCGGATTTACATAACCGAAATCTTTACGCTCGCATTGTTTATCACGATAGACAATAGGGCAACGCTCCTTTTGCGATTTTCAAGGTAGATATTAATTACATTTCGATCAGTACGAGGTGTTGTGTTCATTTTCCTGCCACATTTTCTTACCCGATACGCCTGAATAGAGACTTCATGGTTAATTTTAATTTTATTCGATTGAGAATTGACTTTGAAACCCCACAATTTTTAGGTTTGTCCCTCTGAGAATGTGTGGAGTGCAGTAACAGCGTTTGTATTTCTCCACATTTTCATGGAAACGTGTCTTGAGCCCTAGCCATCCTAAAAAGTAGAAAAAAAAATTGAAAAAATATAAATATATGGAACGTAACTTACCTTTTGACTATTTAAAACGCTGAATTCGATTAAAAGTAATGAAGAATAGAATAGAATACTCAGGCAATGCAACCCCAATGTTTGAAATCGAGCTTTTTAAGATAAAAAAATGTTTCACAATTGACAAATGACAACTGTATTATGTGTTGCCACTTCACAAAAACAATAACAAGGATAGCAGAAGCTACATCAGGTAAAATAATCCTTTAAGAATTGCATCTTTTACAAACATAGTAAACCTTGAAATACAAAAATACGAGTGCTGTCCGTAATTATTTGGCCACCCACTGTATGCACATAGATATATATGGACCATGGAACCATGCAAACATAAAAATGTAAATGCTTTTTATTTTATAATTTTTTTCGGAGTTAATTTTAAAAAATTAGAGCAAAATTTCGTTTGGAAAAATTGTGTATTATCTTGAGCAGCAAAATTTCTCTCCACCAACATTTTATGTTTACCAACATTTTGCATCAACAACAGCAACATCATTTCCCTACGAAACTTCCAAATCCCCAATCAAACATCAAACCCGGAAAATGCACGTGCATGCGACACGAAATTTCGCTGCCAAACAAACGTGCAACTTCCAACCGCAAACTTCTTGCATGCAACATGTTGTGTTTACATGCGGCAGAAGTGAAAAGCGGAACAAAAATCAAAATAATTTAAGAATAAGAATAGACAAACGAAGAAAGTGCACGTTTTTCCCACGCAACGTCATCAACAGTTTGTGCATGAAAAACGATGAATACCAACAACAACAATTGTAACCAAAATTTCTGTGTGTGTATTTACTGTTACATAGGTAAAAATGTGTTTGTGTGTTTTGTGTTGTCGCTGCGGCAGAATTTTGAACTTTCTTGATTTCCCAACCAACCGAGTGAATGTGAGATTTTCTTGCGAATTTTCCTTTCAGTTGCGGCTGTGACATCGTAGCGCGTGGATGTGGAAAATTCGTTTGGTCCAGATGCGTGTGTGCGGCTAGTCAGTCGGTCAGTCAGTCGGTTTGGGTTACGCGTCCGTCAATCGCATGGAAGTTTTCTTTTGTAATGAAGTGTTGGTGTTAAATTGTGGAGATTAATAATTTACATGGAAAATGTTTAAATAATTCTTTTGTTTAAATATAAATAATATTAAATGTTTAAAGAAAAGGTATTTCGAGCAAAACAAATAAAAAAATATCAAACGTAACGTCTTTAAAATAAGCTTAAAAAAAAAATATTAAATACATTTTTAAACAAAAAATTATCCCCAAATTAAAATTTAAAAATGCATCCAGTAGTTCTTTAATACAAAATTTTCATAATTTAGGTGCTTGCTTAAAATATAAATTCAAAACATGTTTCAAGCACAAGGTTCAAAGATAACATAAATAATAATAAAAAAAATAGTTAATGAATTTAAACTCCAAAAATCGAAAAATATTAATTCACAATAAATAGCAAGGATCCTTTTGTGAAATAATAGACAGTAAAGCAGCAATAAAAAATTAATTTTTAATATGTGAAGACGGCGAAAATTTGCGAACTTCGCAAATAAAATTACCATAGAAAATAATAAACAAATTTTTCAATTTATCAAAATATCAATTTAAAATAAAAAAATTAAAAGTAAGTGAGAAGTGAAATTATAAAAAAATATCAACAAAAAATTTGCTCTAACGACAAATTTATCATTATAAATGCTGATATTTGATTCGAAACCCATCGGAGCCGCAGAGAATTAAACACCGATGTCTTTTTCTACTTTTTTCACTATTTCGCAACACCAAATCCGCATTTCCATATAATAAGTATTGCGAGATGTTTTAGTTCTAATTTTCTTTTATTTAAACTTGAAATTTAAATCAATTTAATTTTACAAAATTTTCTTCTATTTTATTCAATTTTAGCTTATTTAAATTCATTTATCTTTATTAAACCCTTTATTAATTTAATTTTTTCCTTACTTCAATATGTTTTATTTGATTTAAATTTACGTTTCCTGATTTTATTTTTATTACTTTAACCTAATTTATATTTAATTTTTTTTTAATTTAATCTATATTTTTGTGTGTTAATTTGATTTATTGTTTTGTCTTTATTTTATTTTATTTTATTTTATTTTATTTAACTTTTAATTTGATTTAATTTTATTCTTCATTTTGTTTTACTAATTTTATTTTCTTTTATCTTGTTTTTTTTATTATATTTTGGTTTTTTTTTCTTAATTTTATTTGATTTTTATATATTTTATTTTATGTTATTTTGATTTAAATTATGTTAATTAAGCCTATTTAATTTTGTTTTCCTTTTTTTATTTTATTTTAATTTATTTATTTTATGTTCGTTTTATTTTATTTTATTTTATTTTAGTTCCTTTTTATTTAATTTTTGTTATAATATTTTGGTTTAAGTTTATTTTTATTAAATTTTATTTTTATTTTATTTATATTATATGTTAATTTAATTTACTTTTTCTTAATTCTGCTTTTTTTATTCGATTTTACTTTATTTTATTTCCTTTTATTTTACTTAATTGGTTTTGATTTGATTTTAATTTATTTTATTTGATTTGATTTTATTTTATTTTATTTTATTTTATTTTATTTTAATTTATAGTTTTTTGCTTTAATTTATGTTATCTTTCTTTCATTTCATTTTTTAGAATTTTTTTAAATTTCTTGGCATTTTTGTCAAACAGCGCGAAGTTATTTATATTTTCTTTTTTGCAAATTTAGAAAAATAAATGGACGGGCAAAAATGTGTCGCATCAAGTCTCAAAAAGCAGTAAATATTAATTTACGAATTTGTACTGTCAATTGATTTTTAATATATACAAAAACCCCACTCAGCATAGGTTAAAGTGTAAAAATCATAAGAAACCACAACAAGGATTGTGCAGCATATAAAATAATAATATTAATAAAATAATAAAATATGGCCGGCTACGATGCAGCCGATGAGGCCAACACAGAGCTCTTAGAGAAGCTAAAACATTTGGATGTGCGCGCCAAGACAGAGGAGCACAGTAATTGCTTTAAAGTCTGCTGGAAATCGAGTAAATGGAAATCGGCACTAAATCACATTGGATTGTTAGTATCACTGTCAATCTACTGCGGCGTGGGTGGATTGGTAAGTGCATGTGAAATAGAAATAAGCTAAGAAAAAGAAGAAAATGTTGTAAATTAAAATAAAAGGGCGGTAAAGGGAAATTATGTGGAAAGCCATAAAATTATAGGCTATATTTTACGATTTAATATGCAATGCAAAGTGGTAGAGATAATTCGAAAGAAAAAACTAATTTTTTGCTCTTTTCACCAAAAAAAAAAAAGGCCCACGGAATGAACTTTGGTGTTTACGTACAAAATTTAGTGATTATTCATTTTTTCGAAATAGTTTTTGAAACAAATATTTCTATAGAAAATTCTCCGCATACAAGTCTATGGCAAATTATGTTACATAAATCATTAAATGAATTTACTTTTAGGGAAATATATTTCTTTTCTTTTTTTCTCAAATATTTAACCACGCAAATTTTTTTTTTTTTTATTTTATACCGAAAAATTCTACAAAAAAGTGCTACTCAAAACATCTACTCTTAAACTGTTGAGTACTAAAATAACAAATCAGCTTGAAAATACAAATAATACAAATTACAATTATTTATGACCGCAAGTATTATTTATGCAACCGAAAGCGTTTAAATCAACACAAAAATTAATGAAAACTTTTTTTTACATCATTTTCCTTGTTTTCACTACAAAAGTGTTTATTTTCAAGTGGCTAGTAAACATTTAAGTGTTTCTAATAAAAATGTTTTATGTGCTTGTTATTTGAGGCGAAAATAAGCAAATAAACGTCCGTTAAATTTCACTTACGCAAGAAGCAATAAAAACTACTGTAAATACGTTTTGAGTGGGGAATATGTGTTGTGAAAAATTATAATAATCTATTTTAATCAATCGGTGAAATTTTAATGCGTTTTTATACTTTTCAAAAGAAAAAATAATAAATAATATTTGTTTTCATTTAATTATTGTTCAATTTATTACTTTGCCACATCACCTAATTTTCATGTGAAGACGCTGGAGGCCAAGTATATTTTTTTAAACAATACAAATGTATTAGATAAAAGTATGCTGGGGCCAGTGAACCAACCGCGAGTTGTTGCCATTCAGATATTTCCAATTAGGAAAATTCTTGAACATCTTAACCTTCGGGTGGTACCTAAATGTATACTTAAATCTATGCTTATACTGGTACTTACACCTACTATCTATACATATGCCTCCACTTATGACTATACCTTTACCCATAACTATATCCATACATATACCTATTCTTGTATTTACACCCAAAAATATACCGATATGGTTGATCACACATACAGCTATACCAAAAGCTTGACCTATAGCTGTACCTATCCATATACCTTTGCTTATACCTATACCTATGCCAATATCTGTACTATAACTTAAGCTATATATATGTGCTGATAACTTTACTTAATCCCACATCTGTACCTAAGTACTATATCCTATATGTCCTAACCTTATACCTATACCTATACCCACTTTTACACATACGCCTTAATGTTAATTTCATTTCCGACTTCTAAAGAGAGATTTTTTTTAAACGATACGAAAAAGCTGTTATAGTAAAAGATCTCCCTGTTTGACAGCACCTTGAGATATTTATATTTTAATGTGACGGAATTTGTAAGTCAGTGACGAAAAAATAAATCGTAACGTCATACTTGCTTCGTCTGAAATTATTTTTTTCCTATTTGTTTTTGTTTTTTATTCAACGAAAATAAGCAAAAATTATTGCCTCTTATATTTGCTTTTCTTTTATAAGCAATAAAACTTTTTCGATTTGCCTTAAATCACGAACTAGACTAACAACAAGCCGCAATTTTCATATGAATTTGAATTTATTTTGGATCCTTTGTGATAGATAAGCGTTCACTTGTGCCGCGGTAAATTTAAACAAATTAACATACTCGTACACACAAACAAACAACTTTGCTGCAATTAAAAAAAATTGTACGCTGAAAACTTTGTATTAAGTAAAATTTGTGGCTTTCGTGTGAACGAAAACTTCTCCCAAAAAAAAGCTTAACTGCATAATTTGTGTCAAGGAAAGTATTGAGCGAAAAAAACTTATCACAAGGTAAACAGAAGCATATAAATACAAAACATAGCTTGTCACTAAACTACACTAAAGATTCTATTTTAGTTTTCTTTTTTTAAATTAATTTTATTTCAACTTATTTTATTTTATTTTATTTTATTTTATTTTATTTTATTTTATTTTATTTTATTTTATTTTATTTTATTTTATTTTATTTAATTTTGTTTTATTTTATTTTATTTTATTTTATTTTATATTACTTTATTTCATTTTCGTTTATTTAATTTTTTTTTAATTTATTTTCGTTTATTTTATTTTATTCCGCTCTTTTTCATGTCATTTTTTTTTCGTTTATTTCATTTTAATTTGATTTATTTGGTTTTATTTTATTTCATTTTATTTTCTCTTATTTTATTTTATTTAACTTTATTTATTTTTTTATTTAATTTTATTATATTTATTATTATTTCATTTTATTCTGCTACATTTTATATATTTTATATTATATCTCTTTTTATTTTGGTTTAATAATTTTTTTATTTCATTTCATTTAAATTCCTTTGGGCTTGTAACGAAATAGAGCGGACAACAACATACTTTCGAGTTTCAGTTATGGACATTGACAGTGGTAATCCATAGCTGTGGTCAATTGAAACTTAAATGTCCATGCCAAGATATGTGAAGCAAATTTGAACCAAATCGTGCCACAAAATATCACAATCCCTTTAATATATTACTACAGTTGTTACAAAAATAATATTTCATGTACGAAATTCAGGTGGAAGTAAAGCTAAGCTTTGAAAATGTGCAATACCTCTGCTACATAACATTAACCGCATGGCGTATAAGTAACATTTGAGCAAGTGTGGTAACTTTTATCTGTAACAGCGAAGCAAAGGGGGAATGATGAATTAATCCAGTGGGATGTAATGGGGTAAGGTTAATAAAGATGTATGTAAGTCAAAACGGGTGGACTAAGTATATGTTAGTTGTACACTTATGTGGGAATAGAGCTGTACAAATATATTTTAGGGATATGTGTATGCGTGCATAAATGAAGATAAAAGCAAAAAGTTAAATGAAACAACCATGCGGTTTGTTTTATTTTATTTTACCTTATTTTTGGCTATTTTAGTTATTGTTTCTCTTATTTTGTGTGTAAGTTTTAACACTAAAGTCACTAATTTTGAGTTTAAACGAAAAACTGTCATTAGCAGCAAAACCATTTAGTTTTACCAGTTTCTCAATATTCAAAATATAATATTGTATAAAATATCCAATAATAATGCCCAAAGAAAATTAAATCTTCCCCTCACATAAACACAAATTTGTATATTTATTTGAAATAAATTCATATCTATGAAACCTGTCAACGCACTACCAAGTGAGTGTCATTCGCAAAAACCATAAATTGGCTAAAAATCGACACATCTTTGACAGCTAAACTTGTACTTGTCATTGGCATGCAATTTATTTGACATAAAACCATAGATATCACGAAACCGGGTCATAACTGAATAAAGCTTAAATAGAGGAATAAAGAAAAATGACAAAAAGACTAATAACAACAACAAATTGGAAGCAGAATATTTGGGTTTTGTTTTTTGCAATAAAGAAAAATTGACTTATTAAGTTCTGTGACACGTCCAGACTTGAGCCGAGATGACCATGTCAAAAACTAAAGCATAAATGGCTTGTTATTGTATATGCAAGTGTAGCTCCACTACCTACCCTTAAAGAAAAAACCTAATTTATATGCCAGCCATGGGCCTTGACACTTTTTATGTTAATTGCTGCTTGTTTGGTCTGGCATGTGCGTATTTGAGGATAATGAACAGGTTTTTTGCCCATTTTAATATTTCGCTAACATTCTTATTGTTTCTTCTCCACATCAAACAAGAATTTTCATTGTTCTTTCTCCACATCAAACAGGAAAAAAGTGTGAGTGTACTTTCGATAACAGAGAGTTTATGTGTTGAGTCCTTTCGTTCCGTTTACTGAGAGATGAGTTGATCTCACCGGATTCCAGTTAAGCAGAGTAAAGTGAGTTTGTTCAACTCTGTTGAGTTAAGTGATTTTTGATCTGAGTTGAGTTTAGTTGACTTAAACTGAGTTTAGTTGAATTCAACGTTTATGAGTTTAAACGTGTCTTGATATAAGTAGAGAGGTGTTGTGAGATGAGTTAAATTGAGTTGTACCGAACTGAGTTTGGTTTCAATTTTATTGAGCTGAACTAAACTCATTCTATTTGAGTTTGATTAAGAGCAGTTGAGATGAGTTGATTAGAGTTAAATTGGATTCATTTGACTTTAGTTGAGTTGAAGTGTGTTGAGTTGAATTGAAAGCAAAATATTTCATGGTGAACTTAGAAGAGTTGAATTGAGCTGTTAATTCCTAAGCCAAGCCAAGGTGAGCTGAAAGACTCAAGTGAAGTGACGCCTCAGGAGAGTAAAGTGAGCTGAAAAAGGCAGCGAATATAATCATATCTTGAGCAGTTCATACTGAAAATTTGTCAGTTTATTTCAAGGGTTCCTGGAAGGTTCGCACGAAAAAATGTTGCCGGGAAATTAACCAGTAACTGACCTATCCTAAATACTCGTATTTATGGTTCAATTTGCTTTTTGCTTAAATTAGCAGGAAGTCTCTTCTTTTTTCCGGAATCTGGACAAGAGAAAAATCTATTCGATCCAATCGTAAGAGGTCTGACAATGAAGTCATGAGATTGATTCCATAAAAACCGTATATTTAAAAATTATTCTACAACACTGCCATTCCCTTCTAATTTGTCCCCTTGGGCAGCTATGCAACGATCCCAGCGCATTTTCTATGCTTCGTAACATTTCTGGAACGCTTTGACTGGGATATCCACAAGTACTTTGACTGGAATATCCTCAATCGACTAAAAATGGGTTCCTTTGACCACCGATATCGTTCTACGGTGCAAAAAAAAAGTCACAGGGTAACATATCGGGTGAATAAGGCGGTATTTGCTACACGGA